CCCTCCCCCTTTTCTGATGAAGGGTCTAGGCCCGAAACGTCAGCCTCTCTGCTCCTATGATGCTGCTTGGCCTGCTGTGTTCATCCAGCCCTGCACCTTGTTGTCTCGGATTCTCCAGCATCTGCAGTTCCTACTATCTCTGACAGGCTTCTTTGTTTCTTTCCCTCTCCCTGTCATTCTGTGCTCTCTTTGTGACAAGGAAGCAGAGACCAAGTGTCTGCTTCTGACGGCAATGGCAAGTGTTCAAGCAATCTGCACTTTCCAAAGATTTAAGTATATATCTGCTGACCGACACCTCTCCTCAGACGTGTGCACAGCTATGGCCTGGGAAGGATCCAAACTTTATAGACACAGCATAGGTCCTGCCTAAATACACCCAGCCTGGATTGTGTAAAGTCCATTCCAAAAGCTATCCCAATTGGATATATGAAGCAACACGACTCCTCCTTGGAAATTTCTCATGACTGTGGGTTGCAGTGAGGCAAAAGGCTTCATTCTCCAATACTGAATGACACTCTTACAGCCTGATATTCTGAGAAAGGTCAGTGAAGTGAGCAGAAGCTGCCTTGTGAAAGTTCAGAGCCGGGCACAATCCTGAAGGTAAAACAGGACTGTGAATGTAAGGAGTGAGTGTCAGATAAGGTTGGCAATGCACAGTGAATGCTCATGAAAACCACACGTACAATTTCACCCTTTAAATAAAAGAACCATTGATACGATTTTGTGCATCTGGCAATCACTGATCACTCTTTGCTGTCGCAACTGTGTGCAAACTGGTGGTTGTGGCCTTGACAAAGGGCAGGCCAATTTTCCTAACAAGCTTTATAGATGGAGTGCCGTACTGTAAGGAAGTCTTTCAGAAGACATAATCCTGGGCTATTCTTGCAAGCAGGCATTAAAGACTGTGCAGCACAATATCAGAACAAAGTGTTCTTCCTCATGTATTGGCCAAAGTATTTACCTCTCAACCAAACAGATTGTCAGCCCTTTATCACAATGTTGCCTGTGGCTGTTTGCTGCACATAAATTAGCTACTGCATTTCCTACATTACACCAATCGCTGCACTTCAAAAATACTTTATTGGCTCAAAAGTTTTTTGAGACATCCTGAGGTCATGAGCGACACTATATCGATGCAAGTCTTTTGCTTTATCCATATTGCATTGAAAATCCATTGCTGCTGTCCAGATATTAAATTACTAATGTGGACCATGATTGAGTACTTCTGACATTGTAGCAAGTATCTCTGAACTCGGTGTTCAAGTTCCATAGTGGGACTTGATGACCAAGGAAGGTGCATTCATAACTTGGATCCAAAGTTTATCATCAACCTCCAAATCTTCCCAAAATACGCCAATGGCAGGCAGTAAGAACAGGAGAAATTCCTTGTCAGCCACGCGATGGAAAGGTAGAGCCTCTACCAACAGTGTCCGTAGCTCCAGATTACAACATGCATGTAAAAAGTCATCCCAGCAGCTTAGACTCTGAATAACCTATAACACATCACCCTCATTATGGTCCATCCCATAATGATTTGTGAGATGCACAGACTAGATTCCTGCTCTGGAAGACTGGAGTCGGGGGAATGCATTCAGTCTCTATCAGTATTCAGCCTATCTCTAACAGTTAAGAAACAGTGTGTAATTCAGTCTTAATAGCCTTGTGGTAGTTTAGGTTGCAAGACATAACATTCTGCCCCTAACAGTTTAATTTATTTTAATGTGAGAATTATAAGAGATAATAAGACATCTGAAGCTCAAATCGAACAATGTCTTAACTAGATTTGAACAATACATTACACTTTTTATAACATAGTCATCACCAAAACATCATTTTAATTACAACATGTTGAAGAAATTATCTAAGCAATTATCCAGCAAGTGGTCAATTGTCAATCAAACTGATCAAACTGCTTGGCCAAAACACCAAATCACATTTTGAAATGATTTTTTAAAACTTTTCTTTTCAAAGTGGATAGAATATTTCATTGGAAGGATCATACTGTCCTATCAAAATCTACATTAAGATACAATTGTATGATGAGGCACCCAATTCTTTGTTCAAACCATGACTTCATACACACTTAAACATTAAGCATATGTTTAAAGCCTCCTTTGGAATTTCCCAGAGATAACACAGTGTGGAGCTGGAGGAACACAGCAGGCCAGGCAGCATCAGAGGAGCAGGAAAGTTGACGTTTCGGGTCGGGACCCTTCTTTTGACTCTAGCATCTGCAGTTTTGCTATCTCTTTAGAATTTCCCATCCTTCATGTCTGGTTCAAGATCTTTTACAATCCTTCTTTCTCAGAGACACCAACATGACCACTGGATAATAACACAATTCAAGCCTTTTTCCTTTTCTAGATTCTCTGCATTCCAAAAGAGGCCAAAATTTCTGATATTGTCGAACCAAGTCTATTTGTCTCTGTCTATCATAGCCTGTTGAACAACTAAACCAACTGGTTAGCATTTTTGAATTGTATCAATCTCTTAGCTTCATGCCCTCAGACATCATATCCACAGGATTTTTGTAATTATAAAAGTTCTCCATGATTCTGACTGGATATCAAAATAGAACATACTTTTTAAACAAGTTTGTTAATTGGCTTTGATTCTTTTATGACCCTTTAAGGTTCTTATGAATGTTCCATAGATTCAGGTATCACAGACCACTGCCTTTATAAAGTAATGAAGTGTAATGGGGATAACCACCCTGCAGCTCATACATCCAGCATTGTTTTCTATATCTCATTTAAAATGGCCATGTTGCTGCTGGGATAAATAACTTTGACAAATCTCAACCACAAATCTCAACTGAAAGTATGGTAATGTCAGCCAAAGCTATTTCAGTTTCTTTCAAGATGCAGGTATTGATCATATGGTAGATGTAATTATGCCTGTGAGCACAACTGTTAAGTCTAGCAGTAATCCATATTCTAAGCTTGTTTTGTAAGATGGCTACAGGCAGTCCTTACAGAATTCCATTGTTTGCATACGGGACAGTTTCTCAGTTCAGTTTACTGCTGAAATCTTCCATACTGTTCAAGTGAAGAAAGAATTTTTTTTTCAAATGCATTCATGGATGAGGGTGTCTCTGGCTAAGCCAGCATTTGTTGCCCATTCCTAATTGCCCAGAAGACAATTAAGAGTCAACCCACATTGTTGTGGGTTTGGAGTCGCATGTAGGCCAGACCAGGTAAGGATGGCAGATTCCTCCCCCAAAGGATATCAGTGAACCAGACGGGGTTTTTTTTCAACAATTGACAATGGATCATTGTCATCATTAGATTCTTAATTCCAGATTTTCATTGAATTCAAATTCCACCATCTGCTGTGGTGAGATTTTAACCCGAGTCCCTAGAACATTACTGGAAGTCCAGCAATGATGCCATCACCTACCCTTAAATTCTGGGTATCAACGAGAAAACTCCTTAATATCTAATCATATTTCCTGCACTTCCCCATGGTATGGATACGGACAGTAAAGGTGTGATGAGTGCTTCCTCTTTCTCATTCCTAGTTTGGAAATCATAACTCAGAGTCATCAATTTGCAAGGGTTAGAAAGTTATGAATTCAAGTGCTATTCCAAAAATTTGAGGACAGAGTCTAGGCTTTCCTTAAATTCATCACATGATGTCGGTATTGTTAGCTGGACCAGCATCTAATGCCCATCCCTAATTACCCACAGGGCAGTTAAGAGTCACCCACATTACTATGGGTCAGGAGTCATTTGTAGGCTACACCAGGTAAGGATGGCAGTTTCCTTCCCTAACTATTGAACCAGATGAGTTTTTCAGATGATTGGTCATCAGATATTTTTCTTTTGGAATTCATATTCCACCATGTGCCATGGCAGGATTCAAACCCAAGTCCTCAGAACATTACCTGGGTCTGTGGATTAATAGTCAATTGATAATACTACAAGGCCATCACTTCCCTGACATGTTAGATGTAAAAAGAACCTATGGCACTACTTTGAAAAAGAACAGGGGAATTATCCCGGAAACCTGGCTAATTTTTAACCCTCAGTCAAAAAAACAGACTGTCTAATCGTTATCACATTACTGTTAGTAGAAGCTTGCTATGTGTGAATTCTCCATCCTGTTTCCAACCTCACAGCAGAGACCACATTTCAAAAGCAAATAATTGGCTTTAATGCATTTTGAGAATTCCTGCAGCTGTGAAAGCCATTATATAAATGGAGGCCTTGTTTTTTTCTTTCCTACTTATGAAAATATTTCAGATGAACAGTGTTGGTATTAAAATCTATTAACTTGCACTTACCATTTTATTGCTGGGCACATTAACACATTCTTTTTGTCTCCAAATTATCTCCAAGGTATTTCAATGCCAATCCCAGTGTTTGGACTTCAAGATGCCTCCAAGGTTTTCAAGAATGACAGTTGTTCCCTCACAGATGAACATTTTGTCCTGGTGGGTTCCTTTGTGGCATTCTTCATTCCCCTCACAATAATGGTGGCAACGTACTTTTTGACAATCAGGGTACTACAGCAGGAAGCCATTTTGTGCTTGGATGTTTTTAAACCCAAGCCCAAATGTACAAACCTTCGGCTGTTTCTTCAGAAGAGCCCATTGGCGGCCAACTCCTCAGACAAAGCAGCCATGTTAAAGAAATATGAGATTAAAGGGACATCATCTCCTCAGATATCATCTTGGTGTTCCTCAAATAAGGAGCTGAGGATTTCAGGGAGACGGTCAATGCAGTCAATTAGCAATGAGCAGAAGGCTTCAAAGGTTCTTGGGATTGTATTCTTTCTTTTTGTCGTGATGTGGTGTCCATTCTTTGTAACTAACGTGATGTCTGTGATGTGTATCAAGATGTGTGATGAAGAACTTATCGAAGAACTCCTCAGCATATTTGTCTGGGTGGGGTACCTCTCTTCTGGTATCAATCCACTTGTATACACACTTTTCAACAAGACTTATCGATCAGCTTTCTTGCGATACATCCACTGTCAGTACAAGAATGAGAAGAAGCCCGCTCAGCAAATTCTAGTCAGCACAGTACCCACTCTGGCATCCAGCAAGGACAGACTGCAGCTCTCCAGTACAGAGAGCTTGCGAAACAGCACAGAAATGAGGACCAGGGCACATTCCGTTGAATCACTGGGAGAAAATCATCAGACTTCAAAAACTGAAACAGTTTATATCGCTGAGAAGGTCAGCTATGTTTGACTTCAACTTAAGACTCCTTATCAAATAGTGTATGTGTTCTTCAGGATAGCTAATGAAACAGGAAATAACATGACACAGTTTCAAACGCTTGTTGTATTGCAATGTTGGTGAAACACACCATTTCCCAAGTGTTACACACAGCAGAGCACAGGAAACTTGGCACAGTTGGATTTTCCGGTTTGGATCATTGGGAAAGAATCAGGAATGAATATATTTGACATGATTGGTTAATATGTTTTGACCCATTGCAATTGTTAAGTTACATTCAAACAACTGTATACTGTTAGAATGTTAAACAAATTACATAAGGTTGTGTGTGAAACACAGGACAAAGAGACGGCACTTAGCCTAACCAGTCCATGCCATGTTTATGCTTCACTCAAGCCTCCTCCTATCACTCATCAGTGATCATAACCCTCTATGCCCTTCTCCCTCATATGCTTCCCTCTTTAAGGTCCTTTCCCCTTTTGGTATTCACTTGAACCACTCCTTGTGGTCACATTCTCACCACTATCTGGATAGAGGTTTCTTCTGAATTTCCTATTGGATATCTTGATGACCATCTTTTACTGATTGCCTCTAGTTATGTTGTTCTCCACAAACATAAGAATACAAGAAATAGGAGCAGGAGTAGGCCATTTGTAACCTTGGCCTGTTCAGTAAAAGCATGGCTGATCTGACAATGGTCTTAACTCCACTATCCTGTCTGGCCTGCATAACCTTTGATTCCCTTGTCAATCAAAGATCTAACACACGAGAGCAAATATTCGTTCTGTATGCACTCTAAAAACTCTACATTTCCTGTATTTTTTAAAAGTACTTGTATTGGGATACGCTGCCCCCTTCTTTCATCAGGATGAATTTTTCAAAGTTATCATCAGCAATTCTATTTGCAAAGTAGGTTCATAAGTTTTTTCCATTACTGAATACCTTCTTGCTCAGAACATCAATATCATGAGCGCCTTCCTGAGATGCACTTGATTGGTTATTTGTCAAACTTCCGGACTGAACCAGAATTGTATATTCTATTTTTTTCCTTTTGTTAGGAGCCTGCACAAAGTGACAGAAAGAACTTTAGGCACAGAAGAGGTACAAATGTCAATATATATATTTGCTGCTGTTTCATGGCAGGCCATCCGTGCAGTTCTAGTTTATATGATATGGTCAACATGTGAATTATTTAAAATGCTGTGGATATGAAGATTTCTCTGTATACCAGTTGTAAAATCCACGTACAAATGTAAGAAGTGGAAGAGTTGGAACGCCCTTAGTTATCTGATAACCATGGCAGAGAAAGCTATTACTCTGAAGAGTACAGCACCTCTGTATTTACAATACATTTGTGCAATAATCTATCTCTTCAGAAGCCTTTCTGGACTCTTGTTAAAAGATAACATGTTGATTTTAGAGTCTGGCCAACAATATTGAGTCTGGATTAAAATTCCATACCTGTTCATTTTTAAATGACGTAAATAATATACAACGGGCACAAGTTAAAGGTTGATGAATTATATTAGAACTATAGGAAAGATTTCTCAATTGGGTTTACAGCTATGTTTAAATTATTAAAATACAATCAAATGTTTCAGGGGCTTGCAGTACATATAAGCATTTTCAAATATTTTATTCCATTGTACATAAAGGTGAAACTAAGAGACAAAATTATTTGTAATGTTTATTCTCTCTGGGAATCTTTCCCAGGTTTGACTGCATTTTCTCCTAGCTCCCCATTTGCTTCTGCAATTTAAACAATGGGAACTCTACCAACCCTGATAGCAACATATTAGCAGAATAAAGTCATTTATTTTGATAAACATTTATTTCTTTTGTGCGTTGCTAAGACTTAACAAAGGCTGCTGGGATGTAGTGTCATTACCAACTTGAATAAATGCCTCGAAAGATCCGTTATGAAAACAGTGGGAACTCCATTTCCCTGAGGTGTACTGTGACGCTGATGAAATTCTCCCTTTAGCCTTTCAGTGTAAATGTTTCTTTTCCCTTTTCAAGATCTCTACATCTTCCTTCCAGAGGCCTCTCTGCAATATCCAGTGCAAGGGAGATGTGTGTAATAGGAGCCTAAATAGAATCCCTACAGTGTGGAAGCAGGCCATTCAGCCCATCAAGTCTACACCAACCTTCTGAACAGCATTGCACCCAGTCCCATCCCCCTACCCTATCCCTGCATTTCCCATGGCCAATCCATCTAACTGCACATCTTTGGACTGTGGGAGGAAACTGGAGCACCCAGAGGAAACCGGAGCACCCAGAGGAAACCAACGCAAACTCCACACAGTCGCTTAAGGTTGGAATTGAACCCAGGTCCCCCGTACTGTGAGGTAGTAGTGCTAACCGCTGAGCCAACATGCCTCCCAAGTGGCTGACTGATCTGCAGATGGCCTTCCTTTGGAGGCAGATCGAAACTTTAACCCTGCTAGCCCTCTGCCACAAGAGACCAGAATTAGATGATGAGCATTTTGGTACCACAGGGCAAAGGGCACAGTTGCTTTCAACATGGAAGGAATATTTTGTAATATCAAGTGCTTTAAAAACTTCTTGTAGATTGTTACAAGGTTAAAACAAGTACAAAGCAGAATTAGAGGGCCGATTACTAAATATCACACAAAATAATCAAGAGTTGGGGGGATTCCAGGGTCCTGATCCTGCCATCAGTACTGTGTTGAGATTCTTTGGGCAGCAACTAGCAAACAGGCTTCAGAGCAGGAGTAGGCCATTCTGCCCACTGAGTCTGCCTACCATTCAATGAGATCATGACTGATCTTAAAATCCTCAGCTCCACTTTCCTGCCTTTTCCCTTTAACCTTTGATTCCCTTGCTCATTAAAAATCTGCTCTTGCTGCTCATTTAGGATGGCAGACTGGTTCCCCAAGGCCTATAACAGTGGAAGGAGGCAGCTCCATCTGAAGAGGGGGCCACTGCTGAGGACAGTAGGGAAGCGGAAGAGCCACTTAAACTGGAGGTACACTTGCAAGCCTCCTTCACTTTTAAAAGTAAAGTAAGCCCAAAGCCTCCCTCTGAAGCCATTGGTGTGGAAGGGAAACTCTGCCATAAAACTGGTCACGGTTGAGGTTGTGGTCTTTACATTCTTACACTTTGCTCATTAGCTGAGAATGAGAGGAGACACCACTGCCCAGAAGAGAAAATCCAGTAAAACTGGTGAACAAGGCATATTGGTCAGACTCATCCTGTAGGCTTCAAAATGGAGGACCAATCCGTACATTTCCAAACCCTGAGTTTTTCCCTTAGGGTGGCCCCTGGACCCGTGCTGGTGAGCCACCTCCACATTGCTGCTGGACTTGGTGAAGGGAGAAGGAATGGTCCGACACTGGGAAGGTGCCAGCAGCATTTGAAACCCAACACTACCCGGGGCCTTCACACTAACTGATGGTCCTATGCCTCTGCAACATTGAGCCTTCGACAAGTACACGTAGCGGTGCAAACACCCACCAAAGAGCCAATCTTTGGAAAGACCCCATTCCCCCATATCTCCATGAGGCTGCCATAATTCCTGTCAATTATTCTCTTATTTCTATAAGATTTTATCGCTCTCTGTTGGCTGCTTTCAAGTACTGCAGAAAATTACCTGTCTCAATTCCTTCTGTGCAATTGGTATGTAATGTGCTGAGATTTCACATCCCCTCCGTATCAAGAAGAAGACACTGAACCTTGTTTTGAATTGTGTACAAAATCAAGACTTAAATTTTGTTGCTTTAGATGTGTATTTTGACTCTTCCATATATTAAGCCAATAAATACCATTTCAAGAAACCAATGTCTCCCATTTTAATTATTACCATAGCATTGATAAAATTAAATTTTGGAAATGTTGTAACAAATGTTTTCTTTCTGTCCAGGCACTCTGTTATTTCACATAGGGAGACAGTTCCTAATTTCCATCTGACCTGTTAATACAGGCACAGTATGTAATTTTAATGGCACTTTGCCTGTACGTACAAAAAAAAATAGTCAAACTGACAATGAGGAAGGATCACCGGACCTGAAACGTTAACTCTGATTTCTCTCCACAGATGATGCCAGCCCTGCTGAGCTTTTCCAGCAATTTCTGGTTTTGGCTCTGATTTACTACATCCCCAGTTCTTTCAGTTATTATGAATTAATTCTATGGGCCTATTATCATCAACCTTAACGTATTGACAGTTAATTTAACACAGAAGCCATGAGCAGGTTTAGGCCATTTGGCTCTTTGACCCTGCTCCACCATTCAACATGATCATCATTGATTCTCTCTGAGTTCCCTATTTATTTTCCTGCTTTCTCCCCATGCCCCTTGTTGCTTTTATATTGAAAAGTTATTGATCTTTTTCTTGAACACAGTCAATGACTTGGCCTCCACAGCCTTCAGTGATAGAAAATTCTACAGGTTCACTTCCCTTTGAGTGCAGAAATCTTTCCTCATCTCAATCCTAAATGACCTACCTGTATCCTGAGATTGGGTCCCCTGGTTCCAGCCACCCCAACCAGGGTTGGACAGACTAGATGCAGGAAGGATGTCATATTTTCAGCAGATTCCCAAAGTGCCAAAAAAGTTGAAAGGCCATGACTTGAAATATTAATTCTGTTAATTTCTCTCTCCACAGATGCTGCTTGACCTGATGACTATATCCAGCAATTTTTGTTTTTAAAACCAAACAGTGGTTGGTTTGTGTAATGTTGATAAGTGCTCTTTAATGTTTGAGTTATTAGACTTCAAGCCTGATCAAATGAGAACTCTCTCTCTTTTAATTCCACAAGTGGCTTGTACAGAAGAACCCCATGATCAGACGGCACCAAACCCCTCCTAGTGGTTGTATTACACATTACATGTTTTTAATATGGCAATGTTCTCTACTTATACAGAACATTTTAGGTCCTAGCTGTAACATATGATACATAACAACATGAAATTGACAGGATTTTATGCTTTTAGTCATCCAGAGTTATTTGCTTACAGCTGGAGAAGCATGAAATTAAGGGAATGCAAAT